ATTGCTGGGGTAAATTGGTTGTCTTCAGAAAGAATCTCTTCCTCCGCTCATCTTTGAGCTGCAAGTTTGAGTTTTTTTCTAGAGGGTGAAGATATTAACTTTTGTTTATAAATGAACCAATACACAGTTCTGAGGTCATTTTTAATTTCTTATGTATCAAAAAGTAATCATGTTAGAGAACTCTAATACACACACACACACAATATACTGTTTCAAAGCAGTGCTAAGGATTGCAACATCTAAATAACAGAATAGTACATGGTAGTGCTGTTTTTGGTCTCATCAATTCAGTTTCCTTTCCTAGTGCATTGTGTAGTTGTTCAAGTACCTTCCTTGGAATATGGCAGTTTGTGTCTCCAGTAGGAGTTGAATCCTCATCTTCAATGAACAGGCGATTGGGTTTCCTGAGTCTCTTGGGGTCTTTTGGCGTGTCTGCTTTTAAAAGGTCCCGCTAAGCAGATTTCAGAGTAGACTCTTTTTCTACATTAATGTAGAAAGATAGATGTTTTAATGTATCAGCATTATTACAAGTTACAAAACACAATATATTAAAGGATATATATTGTCACCTCTGGCCTACGGCCAAATCTTTGCTCAAATACTTTGCTCATGTGATGTTATTAGAATACAGTGTGCCACACTGCATGGGATAAAAACAGCTCGCTGAAGAATGGAAACCTCTTCATATACTTACCAATCCAAACACAGTTGGAACATCTTCTTCAAAGAGAAGATACTGGACTTTGTCTGGAAAAGTCAGGAAATGGCACATGTAATTCTGAACAATATGCTGACATGTAGTGGTAAAATTGACAAAAATCTTAACACAAATGGAGGCCCACTTGATTGTCCTCATGGATATTCCTTAACCTATGGGATGATATTAGACTCAAAATTATTAATAGATGCACGCACAATTATCCATGTACTGCATACATTTTATACATGTATCTTACTAACCACAAACAAATGCCTTTCAATTTGAGTCTGTGGAATTCGGGATTAAATGATTGTGCAGCGATTTGTACAAATACAGACATGTTTGTGAATAAAAATGTTCTGTTCTGCATTAATATATCATAAATTGCTCATGCAAAAAGGAATCCGTGCATAAGTGGATCAGGTGACACGCGTGCATTAATTGATGTCTAGTTTGAGTGGATCCCGCATTTCACGTCCCCCCCACACACACAACTACCAACGAACAAGGCCCAGTGCAATTCATTAACGTGTACACGATTTGAAAAAATCGCAATCGTGCTCACTACACTGAAACAAATGCTTTTCAACCGGTGTCTGCAGAGTTAAGAATTACATTAATGTGCAGCATTTTGTTCAAATAGAGACATATTTGTGAATACAAATGTTATAGTTTGTATTAAAGTATCATGATTTGTGCATGTAGCGATTAAAATGTGCATTTGTGGATCAGGTGACACGCGTGCATTCATTCACGTCTCTTCTGAGTCGATTCTATTTGATTCATTGGAATTTTGAGACTTTCGTTCCGCCCTTTGAAATGCTGTAAACTGCGAAAATGAAGTCTCAAAATCCAAATGAACCGAACAAGATCCACTCGAACTAGACGTCAATTAATGCACGCGTCACCTGATCCACTTATGCACGGATTCCTTTTTGCATGAGCAATTTATGATATATGAATGCAGAACAAAACATTTTTATTCACAAACATGTCTGTATTTGTACAAATCACTGCACAATCATTTAATCCCGAATCCCACAGACTCAAATTGAAAGGCATTTGTTTGTGGTAAGATACATGTATAAAATTTATGCAGTACATGGATAATTGTGAGTGCATCTATTAATCATTTAGAGTCTAATATCATCCCATAAAAATCCAAATGAACCGAACAAGATCCACTCGAACTAGACGTCAATTAATGCACGCGTCACCTGATCCACTTATGCACGGATTCCTTTTTGCATGAGCAATTTATGATATATTAATGCAGAACAGAACATTTACAAACATGTCTGTATTTGTACAAATCGCTGCACAATCATTTAATCCTGAATTCCACAGACATTGAATGAAAGGCATTTGTTTGTGGTAAGATACATGTATAAAATTTATGCAGTACATGGATAATTGTGAGTGCATCTATTAATCATTTAGAGTCTAATATCATCCCATACTTAACACTCAACTGCGATGGAGTGCCTGTATTTAAATCATCACTCTATAGTATTTGGCCATTACAAGGGATTGTAAATGAGCTTCCTTACCCTGTACGCAAAGAAAATGTTTTACTTTTTGGCTTGTGGTTTGGCAGTAACAAGCCAAATGTTAATACATTCTTAAAGCCGTTCACTCTAGAGTGTCAGAGGTTGTCAACTGTTGGCTTTCAGGTAAAAAGAAATCGCATTTTAGAACACTGTATAGTGGTGGCAGCTCTTATGATGTGTGATTCAGTTACCAGGCCCATTCTACAAAACATGACCCAGTTTAACGGTCAGTATGGGTTCAGCCTCTGTGTACATCCTGGAGAACAAGTTCAAAAGAGAAATGGTACTGTTAGTGCATACCCATACAAAGATGTTCCAAAAAGGGACCATGCTTCAACCGTAAGTGATGCAAGGGAGGCTCTGCATAGCGCAAAATCCGTGAGAGGTGTTAAAGGGCCCACGTGTCTTATTAAAGGGGTCCTATTATGCTTTTTCACTTTTTTAATTTTAGTAAGTGTGTAGTGTGTATGTTTGGGCATAAAAAAGATCTAGAAAGTTACAAATCTCAAAGTTCACTCCAAAGGGAGATATTTCGTTTTTAAAAAATCCCTTTTCAAATACTACAACGAACACATTTCACACTTTGACATCATATATGGCATGCCTCCTGACCATATGCATAATATACATCTTGGTGTGGTTCGGCAAATAGCAAGTATGTGGCTGGACAGTGAAAACCACGAGAAGCCATATTATATTGGGACTAGAGTGACTGACCTTGATGAGCAGCTCTTACAAATTAAGCCTACTTGCAATGTGACAAGACTGCCCCGATCTCTTCAGCAAAGAAGGTTTTGGAAGGCTAGTGAATGGCAGAACTGGTCCTTTGTGCTAGTTCAAGTTGAGCTTTATTGTCATTCTGCTGCATGTGGGGACATAACCAGGGAAAGGGAATTCTGTCCCAGGTATTTTACCAGCACTGGTTAATACTTGTAACATTCATGTTCTTACTAAGCAAGGATATTATTACAACAGAGGAGTTAAAAAGATGTGAAAAACTGGTTGTAGAGTTTGTCAAAAACTTTGAAATACTGTATGGAAAGCAAAATATGTAATTTAATGTACATTTGTGTCTTCATTTGCCTGAATCTGTAAAGAATTGGGGACCTTTGTGGGCACATTCAGGATACATTTTTGAGTCATTTAATGGGGAAATACTAAAAATGTTTCATGGCACCCAGATAATGAAAAAAATCACATATAGACAAGTACTGCCTCTTTTGAGGAATGATGCACTAAGAAATGCTGTGCCTGAATGCATCCAGCTGTATAGCAATTTAACTGGTCATAAAAGACTGATGCGGTTTGAAAAAACAACAGATCAGATTGTTACCCTTGGTTTGCATTACTCACGAAAACTTACTAGTGAAGAGATACAGGCCATGAGTAAGCAACTTTCAGCCACTGTGGAGACAGTTGTGAAAATTTTTCATAGACTTCTAGTCAATGGACAACCGTATTACTCACAAGAATTCACTAGAGTAGTAAAGGAACAGCTTTACTGTTTTGTTGAAGAATGGACACATAATCACTGTTTACTATTATATTGTAGTAGAGCAACAAGGTAACAGAAAATGCTTTGCTCTTGGAAGACAGTATCACACTGTTCACTGATTAATGTAGAAAATGTAGTTGGACTGAAATGAGTATTGCCGGGCAGGAAACAGATTTTTGATGTGACAATGTAAAAAAAAAAAGTGTGCTAATTGATCTACCACAACATGCAAACATCTATGCATGTATTCCACCAAGATACAGTGTGGAGGACTAACAAGTTTAACACTTTTATTTTGCCTTTAAACATTCTGTTGACTATAAGTAATGTTGGACTTACACATCTGCTTTATTGTGATGGTCCCCAAACAGACATTCTACTTACTATAAGTAACTTTACAAGTACATCTCAACTTATTCTAACCCTACCAGTCTACTAATACTCTACTAATACTATAATGAGAGTTAGTAGACATGTACTGTTGGTGCAACATTATTTATAGTCAACAGAAAGTTTAAAGGGACCATCAAAATAAAGTGAAACCCTAAAACGTTAAGTCAGTGTAGATGTACTGTATATTTGCAAACAAACAAAATGTTATTGGGTCAAGTACCAAAAGTCTATGGCAGCTTTTTACCAACTGTATGCATGGTAAAAAGCTGTGTAATTTGGCACACTGATAGAGGTCAGTGCCAAGATTAATCACACAGATTTTGGTGTCTCTAGCTCAATCCCTCTAGCACCACCACCTGTCCAAATGTTCACTCATTTATGCTAATAACTTTTGAACTGTAAGGACTAGAAACAAAATTCCTCTGATTCCTTGGCTCATGACAATTCGATTGCAGTCTGATGTCTTTTTCTGTCATAAATAAAACTGTAATTTTACAGTTACTTGTCGCAAAAAAGCCCAGTAAACTACCATATATATGTTTTATGGCTAACTACTGTAATATGCACTGCATTATGGGTAGTTTATGCCATTTACAGTAATTTACTGTATATGGGAATTTGCGGTACTTTACCGTTTGCTCAAAAGCAGTAGTGTTACTGTAAATTGTTCTGCGGATGAAAAACATGAATCTGCATTATCAATTTAATGTCTGGGTAAGCACAAGTGTGTTGAAATAAATGTATTTTTTTTAATGATTAAAAATAATATATATAAACTTTGCTTACATCCCACAAAATTTTTATTTTATTCGCGTACAAAGCCCGCGCAACAACCTGGCAGAGGTTATATAAACTGAGGTTTGTTTCCGGTGCGCGCGCATAACGGGCGTCCCTTCTGAGTGGATCGCCAGATGTAAGCTGCAAGTTTTCATGTGGTAAGTACTTTTTTACTTACTTTTAAAACGTAAACCATTGCCAATATCTATGAAATTTAAAAATATGAAGAAAGTAAATATATAATCTAATTATAGGCTATTACTTGGACAGTCTGAGGGAACTCTTCATTTTCCTCAAAAACTCATTCAATTGTCCTAACTGACTGATTGCATTTTCCAGTACAGATGTACATGTACCCAATCTAGTATTTACACGAACAATGTTTTTCGACTTTTTTACTGCCAGTTATGGTATATTTTACTCAACAGTTAAAGTCCGCATGAAATCAAAATTGACTTTATTTACTTTACTAGCGCACATTGCTAGTAATGATGTGAACAATTAATCCGTGCAAGTTAATCCGCTGAAAAAAATTGTTTGTCTTCGTAATCTTTAATCAAAATCTGAACATTTACTTCAGCTCTGGAATGGCATTCCTTTTCTGATGACGTCAGTTTGACGACTTGGGCAGAATATCCTTAAACACACCCCTCTAACCCTTAGATTGCTATGAGTGAGAGACAGAGAGGAGGAGCCCAAAAATAAAACCATGCCCTCTATTCAATATTCCGTTTCAGCTGGAAATACGTCACTACACTGAAATAAAGTCGGCAGCAACTTCCGGTTCACGCGGACTTTAAATGAATACCGTTAAATGCCGTTAAATGTGTGTGACGTCATTTGAAATACCACGAGCGCGCTTTCTCTCTCTCTCGCAACGCGCACGTTCTCTCGTAAATAAAACAGTTACGCCAGTGCATACAAAAGAGAAAAAAATTATATTCAAGGAAATTTGTAATTAATTAATTCAAGAATGAAAATGCATTCTTTATTATGGCTTCTTGTTTGTTAATAGAAGCAAAGTCAGTGTTCTCTGAAGTTTCATATTAATTTATTTTTATATTTTATTGTATATATTCTCTTCTCTCTTTTTTCAGTGTTGATTGTAATCAGATTGTGTAAGTGATCAATCTAGCAGTCAGTCTAGATCTGTGATGTATCATGTTCATAACATATAGTGATTAGTCAATAATCACTGACAAAAAACAATGATTATTCTTTTTCTCTTTGTTGTTTGTTTTAACAGGAGCTAACTACACCCCAAAGGCTATTTTAATAGCCACAGCACTAAGCATCTTTGGCTTGGCTTTGTAAGTATGTTTTAACTGTCAGACGCAGTATGTGACATTAGATTAACTGCAGCTATGCTATGCAGCAAATTAGAGTAATCAGAAATGTCTTAATATGATAATAATTAAAGATATGTTTTGCTATATATATATATCAGAATCAGAATCAGAATGAGCTTTATTGCCAGGTATGTTTACACATACGGGGAATTTGTTTTCGTGACAGAAGCTTCCACGGTGTAACAGAATGACAGTGACAGAACAAAAAACACAGATAATAAAAAATAAAAATAAATAAAAAATAAGGAAGTAAATAAGGAATAAAAATATACAAATCGACAATTGTATGTACAGGTATATAACAATAGACAGTTGTATGTACAGGTATTTAATTTTATTTAATGATAATTTCTCTATAGCGCCACATCACAACAGATGTCATTTAAAGTTACCTTTCCGATAGAACCTTGTTCTTTTATTAAACAAACTAAATAGCCTCATGTTATTTATCTTACACGAAGGCATGTCATTTCGGTCTCTACGTTATGGTCGCGCTCTCTGTATCACGCACAGCGGAGTTCCGCCCCGATCACACATACACACATACACACACACACACACACACACACTGAAGAGCGCGTAACACTCGCGGTGAATTCAGCATCCGTCATCTCACTAAATGAGGACATGAACACACGAACAACATCTCCAGAACTGCTCTGAGAGTCACTTCATGAGTATTTTACCGTTTCATTTGACATTTGAGTACCTCATATCATATACACACAGAAATGTAAAGGTATTCATGGCAAGCCGTCAAAATAAAAGATAAAAGTAACTTGAAGGCATTGCGGCAGAAATATATTACTATTGTTCAGTAGAATGTCGTAATAGGCTGCTACTACTACTAAAATGATTAAAACCGTATTTTTAAGGAATAATCATACAATATTTCTTCAATGTTTTAATTGTAATATTAAATGACCTTTATTTTCCAA